ATTCATTTTATTTTATTTCGTTTATTCATTCTATTCGAATTATTTTTTTATTCAAATTATTACTTGAGTTATTCGAATTACTTGTTTTAATCGAAATAATTGAATTATTCTATATTATTCTTTTTATTTCAAACTATCCGTTTATCCGTTTATTCGAACTATCCGTTCTGTTTGAATTATTCGTTTTTACTCGAATTATTCATTTTATTTCGAATTATTCAAACTATTCGTCTATTTGTTTTATTTGTTTATTCAAACTATTCAAATCATTCGAATTATTATTATTCGTTTATTTGTTTATTTGAATTATCGATTGAATTATTTATTTTATTGTTTTATTTGTCTTATTTGAATTATTCGTTTATTCATTTGTTTGAATCATCGAATCATCGAATTATTTATTATTCATTTCATTTGAATAAACTTTCAATGTAATCCGAATACTCAAATTCATAACGAGTAAAACAAATAATCCTTATTCGAATAGAAGCCCTAATCAAGCAATAGTGATTTTAATTTAGTTTGCCAGATTTGGTGACTCCAATATCTCAGATCGCACGCTCGCAATATTTATTACAGTTTTGCGGTTTATGGCTTTAACGAATTTAGGTTGCATACCGAATTTATTTATATAATGCTGAATTGTTGTAGTTCAGGTAAAATTTTACTTTTTTTTTTTTTAACGGATGTGCAGTCAGGATTATTCCCCGATTCTGGAATTTTCTGTTGATCAACACTCATTTATTTTTTATTCAAAATAATCGAAATAATAATACCTTCAAACTTTCTTTTTATAATCTGTTAATTATGCTTCTACTCAAAATCGATGAATTTTTGTACAAAGAGTTTGTTTTTTTTTGCGTAAATATTTGTACGTTTGTTAAACCTTTTTTTTTTTTTATCTTTATAGTGAACAAAAAGTCAAGACCGTTAGTTAGCACATTACCTTGCTTATTTGCTGAATTTGTTGAAAAAGTCACCAGTTGAAATCATGCGAATCAATCTTGGAGACAAGCATCAGGAAAGGCAGTGATGGAACGTATACAAGTTTTTGCTAAGTGGATTAATTGTCCACAAAGGCTTACATTCTTATTAAATAATAATATTTCTTATTGAAAAAAAAACTATTTAAATTATGTTAACTATTAACAATCAATAAATATATTTCAGGAAAATACTTAGCTAAGATGCCTATTCTTTTTAAAATACAGCATTTACTGATGCATATGACAGCATTCCTGCCTTTCTTCATTTCTTGCTTACATTGCA